AGACAAATTTACGGTTTCAAGAAGGCAAAGACCTAAAAGAACGTTGATTTTTACCAATCATGAGTTTGTGTAAATTTTAAATCTGATGGTGGCGCTGTTGTCTCTCCGAAACGCAATACGATAATTTTTACTTCACACTTTGACTGAGACCCAGGAGGAAAAAAAGATCAGAATATCATGACAAGCGCACGCAGTCAGGAAAATAAATCAAAACAACTGTATAAGGAAATATCAGCCCATTTTGCATTTTTTTGAAGAATCTCCAATCAGTCGGTTAATTCACTCATTGAACTGAATCAGCGTGCCTTACTCCACCTCCATCAAAATTTGATCAACAATTTATCGATAAAGGAGAGCCAAAAGCTATGGGGAGGAAGATTCGTGAAGCCCACAGATCCCAAGCTGGAGAAGCTGAACTGTTCGCTCGCCGTGGACAAACGCATGTATGCTGAAGACATCGAGGGCAGCAAAGCGTACGCTCATGCCTTGCAAAACATCAATTTGCTCACGGAGGACGAGGAGGCGCAGATCTGCCAGGGTCTGGATAAGATCAGAATCGAATGGGACAACACTGAGTTTGTGACGCTGAGCGAAGACGAAGACATTCATAGCTCAAACGAAAGACGTCTGAAGGTAACCACTTCACCTGGTGGCTGTAGAAGCTGTCTTGGACTACGAGGGTGTTTTAGGAGCTGATCGGCGAGCCGGCCACTAAACTCCATGTGGGGCGCAGCCGAAACGACCAAGTGGTTACCGACATGAAGCTGTGGATGAAAACGAACCTGGCCGTCCTCAGGAAGGCCGTGGAAGAGTTAATCCACGTCATCGTCAAGCGAGCGCTGCAGGAAATCGACGTCATCATGCCAGGCTACACTCATCTGCAGAGGGCGCAGCCCGTTCGATGGAGCCACTATTTACTAAGGTAATGGCATCATCAGTTTTTCTAAAATAACATATAAAAAAAAATATATTAATTTAAAAAATAATCACAGTTCGTCAACAGCCTCATCATATCACACATTGCAACACTTTAAAACATTCTAAAATTAATTAGGCCTAACAGGTGATTAGTCAGGACAATCAAATTTGGCAAGAGACTAGAATTCTTTGTTCAGATACTTAAATATTTTTACTCATTACATTTGGAGTATTAATTTTGTCCATTTTAGACACAAAGCGAATAAAATACTGTTTATATTGATTTCTTTCACTTTCAGCTATTTTTCTTTGAATTCTGAGAATATTATTTTTGGTTTGCAAAATTCTTCGATATACCAGGTGTTAGTTAACACTCTATGTTTATTTCATTTAATTAATGTGTGATATACTGAGCTTGTCGCTTCATATTTTCATTCATAGCATTGTTATGTTTTTTAATCTGTATCATTTCATGGACTCTTCTCTTATTATAATTACTCTCTTTAATCTGTATTTGTGTGTTATCAAAATCAAAATTATGCAACCTCTGTTGTGCATGCTGTGCTAATGCTGTATCATTTTCGTTATTTTTTCTTAGGCTATACTTATGTTCGTATATTCTTTTCTTTAGATATTGTCCT